TGTTTTCATTGCTACAAACTGTTCATTACTGGGAATCGTCCACATTTAGCTTGTCTGAGATTACTGCGAATTTGGGAAATCACGCTCTATATGGGGGTGCTGAGAAAGGTACCATTGAACATGATATAAAGATGAGAATAATGGACTATTTGAATATCCCTGAGAACGAGTATGGCCTTGTATTTACTGTGAGTCGTGGCTCAGCCTTTAAACTTTTAGCTGAATCCTATCCATTTCAAACGAACAAAAGGTTGTTGACCATGTTTGATCATGAAAGTCAGTCTGTGAATTGGATGGCTCAGAGTGCTAGAGAGAAAGGTGCCAAAGTCAATAGCGCATGGTTCAAATGGCCTTCTCTCAAGCTCTGTTCAACTGATCTTAGGAAGGAAATTTTAAACAAACGGAGGAGGAAGAAAGATTCCGCTGTTGGTCTTTTCGTGTTTCCTGTGCAGTCGAGAGTTACTGGTGCGAAGTACTCGTATCAGTGGATGGCCCTGGCTCAACAGAAAAATTGGCATGTTTTGCTTGATGCTGGGTCATTGGGCCCAAAGGACATGGATTCCCTTGGATTATCTTTATTTCGACCAGATTTCATCATCACTTCGTTCTATAGAGTGTTTGGCTATGACCCGACAGGATTTGGATGTCTTTTAATCAAGAAATCTGTGATGTCAAGCCTTCAGAATCAGTCTGGACATGCCGGGTCGGGTATAGTGAAAATTACTCCCATGTTTCCTCTGTACTTGAGTGATTCAATGGATAATTTTCCAGGATTTGTTGAGGACGAAGAAGTCAGTGGGAATGAAGTTAACTCAGAAACTCGTCCAGGATCTCAGTTGCCTGCCTTTTCTGGTGTGTTCACATCTGCACAGGTGAGGGATGTATTTGAAAGTGAAATGGAGCATGATAACAGTTCTGATAGGGATGGGGCGAGCACTATATTTGAGGAAACTGAGAGTATTTCTGTTGGGGAGGTGATGAAAAGCCCTGTCTTTAGTGAAGATGAATCGTCGGATAACTCACTTTGGATTGATTTAGGTCAGAGTCCACTGGGTTCTGATAAAGCTGGTTATTCAAGCAAACTCAATGTAGCCTCTCCATCGCCACCAGTTTGGTTTACTGGCAGAAAAACTCGTAAGCAAATTTCTCTGGAAGCAATTAAGACATCAAGTAGCCCGATGTTTGACAAGGAATTGAATCCAGGACATCATGAAGACCACCATGTATTATCATTTGATGCAGCTGTTCAATCAGTGTCTCAAGAATTGGACAATTTCAAGGAGATTCCTGAAGAAGAACATATTACTGAAAGAAATGAGGTTTTGATAGAATGTAGAACTCCAGTGTATCATCATCTTCAGGAAATTGAAGAAGAACCTGATACTATCAATCCACTTAATTCTGCTGTGAAAGGATACGGTCCCAACAACTTGGTTTCTGCTTCTAATCATAGAAGAATGCAGAACGGCTCAGCTTATGAGATATTCCCTGAACCGAAGGAAAGTGCGATAAGAAGAGAGACGGAAGGTGAGTTTAGGTTGCTGGAAAGGAGAGAAAAAAGTAGAATTCCTGGTGGTAGATTTTTTGGCATAGAAGAGACGGAGCAGCTTGGAAGCAGGGAAAGAAGGGTATCCTTTAGCACAGAAGACCAGCACAGAGCTCACCTAAGCCAAACTCTGGAGCATGGAGAAATATCAGTCACGAGTCTTGATGATGAGGACTCCATTAGTGATGGGGAATACGGTGATGAACAAGAGTTGGAAAGGAATGAACCTGAGTTGATCTGTAAGCATCTTGATCACATAAACATGTTGGGTCTCAACAAGACAACCTCTCGACTGCGATTTCTGATTAATTGGCTTGTAACTTCATTACTTCAATTAAGATTCCCGGGTTCAAACGGAAAGGACAGTGTACCACTTGTTCAGATCTATGGCCCAAAAATTAAATACGAAAGAGGCGCAGCTGTTTCATTCAATTTGAGGGACAGAAACCAGGGTATGATTAGTCCAGAAATTGTTTTGAAGATGGCCGAGTCACACGGTATATCTCTTGGTGTTGGCATCCTCAGTCACATAAGGATTCTAGATAGCTCCAAACAGCAACGAGGATCTTTGAGTCTTGCAGATACGACTCTTTGCAAGCCAATGGAAAATGGCAGACACGATGTTAAAAGTGGATTCATCAGAGTTGAGGTTGTCACTGCTTCTCTTGGCTTTTTGTCCAATTTCGATGATGTTTATAAGTTGTGGGCATTCGTGGCTAAATTTCTTGACCCGGCCTTTGTCAATGGGGGAGTCCTTCCACCTGTTGCAGAAGAGGTAGATTCATGAGGCCAGAAACTTTTGCTAATATTTAGATTTCCTTTCCCCCTTGCTACAAGGGGGAGATGCAGAGATGCATTGACAGACGTCATCCAAGTGCAAGAAAAGCAAAAGATGGAAATGTTTTGTTTAGATTCCATTTGCCCCTCATGCCACGTCTCCTCCAAGTAAATGGCTTTTTCATTCATGTTTTAATTCGCCTTGGATTATTTACTTTTACCTTCTGGGTTCTTGTAGAGTTGGTTTTAGAAATTTATATCATTTCAAATAGTAACGAAGAAGTCGAGCTGATATAAATGCTTGTAACGTCACCTTCAGCTGTATAAAAATCTTCTTATTTTGCTTGCTTTAGGCTATTTAACATTTTCTCTTGTTCGAGTCTTTACCAAGAGCAGAACTACTATCCTTCCAAGAATGAATCGCAAGGTGAAACTTATGAGATTGTGAAAGGGATCTCTTTGTTCTAATATTATATGATTTGCGTCGATGAAGAAATTGATTAATTTGGTCGTAATGCTTGAATGCCATATCCATTGTTGCTTTTTGCTCATTTTTCACATGAAGTGCCAGTATCAGTCATTGGATATACATTCTCCTTCTGCATTTCATTTAGTTGTCATAGTTTTGATTTTAAGAAGTTAGAATCTTCATTTTAGACCCTCTATTGGACTGTATAGGGTTAAACACGGCAACTGACAATTTTGTAACATGTTTTTTCTTTAATTTTGTTCGGTCTATTTAGTCGAGCATATTAAATATATAAATATGAACACACACGATATGGCAGGAAGACACTAGTGGAAGAGTATGCTATTCGTCAGTAGTAGAGATTATGATCTGTGTGGACGACAGTGGACCCTGATTCATTGTCCAGTGAGGTTGTAATGCATTTTTAAGTGACGGATTTGGCTCTGGCGACTAATTTAGTGAACAAACAAGATTTTATCCCTTTACAAAAGCTGAACTGATTTGGTAAATTATAGTACCAAACAAGTATTGATCTTAAAGAGAACACCATGCAATGTGCCTATCTTACGTACTTTTTTAACTTATAATAATTATTGAAAGAAAAATCATGCTGTCTGTCTGTCTGTCTGTCTGTCTTTATTTTTTATTTGGTTTAGTCATTAATACTGGGCCATATCCAATAAGTTTTGTTTGCCATGCATATAAAAGTGGATTCTTGAATCATTATGCTGCCTTTATTTTTTATTTTTTCCATTTTTATGTGATTTTGTAGATTCTGCATTCTAGGTGGCCGAGGTAGGTAGAATTGGCACTGCGTCGTTCTTTTAGATAAATTTATGATGATTCAAAGCCAATAGTAAAAGTGACTATGTTTTAACCTTTTTCCTTAAAAATGTTCGAGTAGTGTGAGAATCGAGAAGGAAATCATTCAACCTAATAAGTTCAATCTAATAATTGAGTTGTACTTGACCTAGTCGATGACTTAGTCAAGTTGTACTCAATTAGATCAACCAAATAGTCTTGTTGGTCGACCTTAGTACTCATCCAACTCGGTTCAGTTTGCCGATCGATCAAAAAGTTGTCGTTGAGCTTAATACTTATCCAACTTAACTCGGCAATCGATTTGCTTGAGTTTTACAAGAAAAATAGCACTAAAATACACATCAGCTATCCAACATCACAAACCCTACTTTCCTCTCTAAAACAACAAAACACTCTGACCCTTGTAGCAAAAATAAAAGGATGGCATTAACACAACACACAAAGAAATTGAAAAGCTTTCTTTGTGGGATAAGTTGTCTCTAAAAGTAACTTTACTCAATACAATAATCATTATATGCAGACATAAATAGCTGGCTGAAGTAACACTATCAGCCAAATATTTCGAGTGAAATTTCAATTAAAGCAATCGGTCTTGTTGATCAATACCCAAAAAAAAAAAAAACCAAGAGCTCTCTGCTCTCATCATAATCATTTACAAGAACAATAGCTCATCCTTCTAACATTTTGGTAAGTTGGACTGATAATATTTAGAAGAAAAAAATTCAATGTACTGTAACGTCATTCGATCGTGTCCAGCACTGCGTACTAGACATACCCTAGATGTGCACCATAATAGAAGCATTTAGCAAGTTCAAATCAATCGTAGTATCATAGAGAAACTCGGTACGAGAAAGCTCCTCTTGTAATTCGCCTATGAGAAAGTTCGATCTTATGTTTGACATATATATATATATCAATGAACACAATATGTTATTGGCCAACTTCTTCATGGATCTCTTCCATGTAGAATTTTTAGTTTGTCACTTGGAGAGCAAAACCAAGTGGATGTCGGGGGATTGGGCCGAGCCGTACCCATTTCATTTTGATGGGTAAAAAAAGTTTTTTTGTACGTGAAAAAATAAAAAATAAAAATTATATTTACATTTTTTACATATTAGCCTAGCTTGAAATTATTGTTTTAGTCCGATCCTGAATTTGACCATATGATGGTGAAGAAATATCTACTATTGGAATAGTGGAGCTGATGTTTCGTTTCATAATGATTGCATAGGTGGTGAAAATGAACAATAAAAAGAGAGGTATTGCCCCTATATCATAAAAAAAATTGGATTTTTACTCACTTTGCATTGATTGAATCTAAATTGCAATTTTTTTTTTGTCCTAACAACGTTCTAAACGTATTCAAGTCATATTCAAGTCATATTAGCATTAGAAACCAATTACCAACACTTTATTCCACAATAGAGAATCAAAGAAAGAGGGAGGGAAGCCTCGGGACTACAAGGGGTGAGGCGCACATACATTCATCGAAACATAAATGGTCGGGATAAAACCCAAATTTATCTTACGTGTTAAAAATCGGTTAGGTTGGGATAGAGGTCCATATGAGACTTGATACGACATGGGAGTGTGTTGGATTGAAGCAATAATTTTTTCGAAATATTTTTTTATTGAAATTTAAAACTTGTTCGTGCGAGTTGTAAATCACTAAGCTATTATTAGGTAAAGATTTCTTGAGAATAAATTTTGTGAAAATTAAATTTTTTTTTATATGTGGTTAAAAAGTAGGAAAAAGTATGAGTTTACTTGTAAAAATTATTTTATTAGAAAAATGTGTGATTGAAAGTGAATTTGAAAAAAAAAAATGATTCAAAAACTAAGAACGAATTATGTTGCAAGCATAAACAACTTGAGCCATGTCTAAGTTTAGGTCGAGCCAAATAAGAGTGAGATAGACTGGTCAGGTGCACAAGCTGCCAATATTAGGTTTAGTCTATTATGAGTGTGAGCCATGGACACCCCTATAGCATTTTCCATTATGAGTAGGGACCCACAGGAAAACAATTAAGTTGCTTGTACATTAAGACCTACCACCGGTTTGACAGATGGCCTACAATGGCTGACATGGGAAGCAATTAGAAAAACTTGAGAAACCATTAAGCGCAGTCTTAAAAAAAATAGAAATAAAAAAAAAAATAATAATAATAAAACCTTTCTTTTTAGCTATTATTGCAAACCGGCCCGGGTAGAAACCATTTCACTTCAATTCCAACTTTCTTGCCCTAGAAATCCCATTTTCTTCTCCCGCGCATCCATTGTTGCATACGCTAAGTTGTATATTCTACGCAAAGGAAGGTAAGAATGGTAGTACGCAAAGCTCACACGTCCGGGGTTTCCACCTAAACCATAATCATCTAACTTGAAGGACGCGCTTATCGTTGTCTTGAAACAAGAAAAGACGCTAACTCATCTTCGTTTAGTCGCAATAATGCCAGACTAAGCTTAAGAAGTTGAAATTATTGAAATCAACTACGTGTTTAACCTAATAAGTTTTAATTTCATAAACCTAAGAAGCTTTTATGTCAACTTAGAAGTAGCCTGAAACCCATATAGTCGAGGTTGGTGACTAAAATGTATAGTCTAATAGTGATTCCACTTCGTGGTTCAATTTGAAATAAGATTGTACGAATACAAATTGGTGACCTCATATGTTCTTTTTTGTTGCAAAGAAACAAATTATTGATGTGGTGGATGACGAAATTTTGATAGAATCCGATAATGAGAACTTTATGGACAATTTGAACATAATGGATGATGAAATTGTAGGCTGAGGATGGTGCAACGATGGTGCCTAAAGTGAATATAAAGTTCAAGGATGAAAAAGAATTGTTCGATTTCTATAAACGATATGCTTATGATGTAGGTTTTCCAGTTTGAAAAAGGATGATGATGGGGTTGTGAGATGCGTTACATTGACATATAGTCGTGAAGGTCGAAGAACCAGTAATACAGGTTGTAAAGCCATGCTAACTACATCTTCTAAGCCGCAACCAACCATTCAGACAGGTTATAAAACCAGGCTAGCTACATCTTTAGATATGTGTGGAATATGGAGAATTAACACAACTTATATCACAATCATAAAACAAGTTCTTCGAAGTCTAGGATAGAGACCAAAGGCACGCTGGACTAATCTGAGATATGGTGCACCCATCGTTGAAGCAACTCAACAACGAGAATATTTCATTCCAACTCCGTTCTCGTATTCACAATTCCCGTTGGCCAGTATTTTTAGATTTCTCGTTTCATTTGTTGTGGATGAGATATGTACGATTATGGTTCGTATTTTTGGTGCAGGGCGGCCAACCAAATCTTGTGTTCACACAACATTTACAGTACTCCAACTTCATCTCCCCCTCGCCCCCCGGTCTCTAACTAATGTTATGTTGCCCGTAGAAGGTAATGTTGTCAATCAACATATGTAATTTTGTTTCTCAAATGGGGTTCATCTATGCTGGAATGAAGATGACATGGCCGCATATGACAACGAGTTGTTGATGATTTCATTTTCATTGTAGATGCCACTTGTTTTTCTAAGGTCGTTGAGTGTTATGTAATGAATTTCAAACTCAACTTGTTATATGTTATTTACTGTATTTTGAACTCATTCATATCACCTCATTTGAGCATCATCTCTATATATGTTATTCACGAACAAAAAGTATATATGGAACAAAAGGTTTGATACAACATGGGGTACACTTACAAACCACAG